GCTTCCTTCTAAAATAGAGAACGGAGGAAGAAGAAAGAGAAGAGGAGAGGGCGTAATAGAGCAGACGGTGGCGCACCGTAGCACCGCCCCTCCTAACGTGCGCCTTTCTTCTTCTTCTTTCCGATTTCGGATTTTATTCCTCTTCTCCTCTCTCAGGTCGCTTCGATCCCACGGCAATAAAAAAAAAAGCTTCGATTTTGATTCTACCCAGAAACAGAATCACCTGATTCTTACTTCAATTTTGGATTTTGATGCATTCATCTTTATAAAAACTCTGGCGGATATTAAAGGAACCCTAGCTTTTCTCCGGTCATATCTCGCCGCTTCTATCGCCGCCGATCTTCGGTGGTTTGATTTCAAATCTAAGAAAAAAAAACAGAGAGGTTCAATTCGTCGGTTCAGGATGCTTTGGATCATGAGATTTTCCGGTTTATTCTCCGCCGCTTTGGTTATCATCGTCCTTTCTCCTTCCTTCCAATCGTTTCCTCCGGCGGAAGCTATCAGATCCTCTCATCTCGACGCTTACCTCCGATTTCCGATCTCCGACACACCGCCTCACCGATTCACCTTCAGAAAAGCTCCAGTCTTTCGCAATGCCGCCGATTGCGCCGCCGCCGATATAGATTCCGGTGTCTGCAACCCTTCGCTTGTACACGTGGCGATTACTCTGGATTTCGAGTATCTACGTGGCTCAATCGCAGCCGTACATTCGATTCTCCAGCACTCTTCTTGTCCTGAGAGCGTCTTCTTCCATTTCCTCGTCTCCGAAACGGGTTTAGACTCGATTGTTCGGTCGAGTTTTCCCGATTTGAGATTCAAGGTTTATTATTTCGATCCAGAGATTGTACGAACTCTGATCTCCACCTCTGTAAGACAAGCTCTCGAGCAGCCATTGAATTACGCGAGAAACTACTTGGCGAATCTGTTAGAGCCTTGTGTTCGTCGCGTGATCTATCTAGATTCCGATCTGATCGTCGTCGACGATATCGCGAAGCTATGGAGGACGAAGCTGGGATCGAAAACGATCGGAGCTCCGGAGTATTGTCACGCGAATTTCACGAAGTATTTCACTTCGGCGTTTTGGTCGGAGGAGAGATTCTCCGGCGCGTTTTCCGGGAGGAAACCGTGTTATTTCAATACCGGCGTTATGGTGATGGATCTAGAGAGATGGAGGCGCGTGGGTTACACGGAGGTGATTGAGAAATGGATGGAGATTCAGAAGAGTGATAGGATTTACGAGCTTGGGTCATTGCCTCCGTTTTTGCTTGTTTTCGCCGGAGAAGTAGCTCCGATTGAGCACCGGTGGAATCAGCATGGTCTTGGTGGTGATAATGTGAGAGGTAGCTGCAGAGATTTACATCCCGGTCCGGTTAGTTTACTTCATTGGTCCGGTAGTGGTAAACCGTGGTTCCGGTTAGATTCGAGAAGACCTTGTCCACTTGATACACTTTGGGAACCTTATGATTTGTACGGACACTCACGTTGATTACTTCTTCATCTGTTACAACAATGGGTTTATAGTCTCAGCTGGTAAATTCTCATACAAAACAAAAACAAAAAAC